CCCTCAATGGCGCTCGTGCATCCAAGCTATTGCCTTCAATGCATAGCTCCTTTTCCAACTCCCCCCACTTGACAGACCACTGACAGTGCTGGATTTATGCACCAATTTACCAGCTAGCGCGTGCGATGCGCAGCTACCTAGCCCCCCCCCCCAAATCATCGGTGAACGAAACTTCGGCAGCTGCCACCACTGTACGACGAGTAAGCGGTTATTGCAGCTGACAGTGATGATGGTGATGTGTAATATGTCCTGACAGGAACATACAGGCGTTCATCGAAGGTTCACTGGGTCTGGCTCTCGCAAACACAATTACTGTACCGACACCAAGAACATAAACCTTAAAACCCAAGAGTGTGCTCATCTCTTGAAATACTTGAAATTTTTTTGTAGATCATCAATGATGTTGAATTACAACTTTTCTTTCGCTGTCGATTTCGTAGCAAAGGGAAATCCAGATTTTCAAGCAGTTCCAAGATGCCGCTCGAATTCAAAAGAAGCAATTCAAACTTTTACGTGAGGAACGGATCAAGGCCTTCCGACGCACGATGGAACTGGGAACTGGTCCTGTGTCATTGGGGTCCTCTGATTCTGGAGTCAACAATGCCTCCGGGTCCTCTCCAGCGTCTGATCGTCAGGATGGTCATGAGGTGCCATTGTCCGTGTTCCCCGTATTCCAAGACGAAAGACAAATCCTGGAGAATCTGAAACAGGAAGAAAAAAGGAAACAGTCTGATTTGCATGAGCAGTACAAGAAAACCGTTACCGAATTACAAAAACGACAGAATGTGAGTGGTTTTGCGTCTGTCATAAGTTGATAAACACCTGGGAAACATCTTACTATGTTGCCAACATGATCAGGTAGAAGTGTACGATGCATTCTTTACTCTGTACACCTGATCGATAACTTTTACGGACGGCTACATTCGTATAGCACCATAAATCGTAAGTGTCCGATAGTAGACGTGGCAGGCATCCGCAATCATCTTTTGAATGGCAACTCACGAAGCTCGTACAGACCAATCGTCCTACCAGCTCGCTGGTAAAATAAAGCATTCGAGAAGGGATCCATTATAAAACTCTTCAGTTTTGAGATCTTTTTTGACTATGTATCGAAAGCTTTGCTAATAATTTCGTCACAGCTGAAAATCTTATACACTGCGATAAATTTGTCTAGAGGAATCACGTATTTCCGGCTTGTTTTTTTCACACGACTGAGAGCTGAAATTTTGGATAGCACCGTTTACCCTATCCGATTATTTGATCAATATGTAACCCAAAAACTTTGCCCATACTCCACCAGAATCAGCTTCATTTCACTTCCTGCCTAATTAGATTTGTGTGCTGATAACTCAGCGGATGTCACAAAAGGTACTGTCCAATCTAAGTGTACATGCATAAAAGGCACTACAGTATCTCATGAGGAATAATGGTTTGAATTCTGTAGAGGAGCTGTCCACGGCCTCCACTTGATTTAGCTCTCCAGCTATTCGAATGTATCTTGGACAACATTCTAGTCCTTTCGAAAATATCATGAGTATTTGGTAGTCCCCCCAGGCTGCAACACAACGAGAAGAGCTACACAGATTAGGTGATTGTTCTGTGGTAAACCAATGGTGGGGCACAGTGTGTAAACTTTTGTGCTAATGTGCTCCAGTCTGGGGATAACCGTGTACGAGCAACGTGAGTTCGCTGAGTTTCTAACTATATGTTCCTACACGCAGTGCAGCAGCGGCAACGCTGGTGTGCACACATTCGCCTGTTGATGATCACCGATTCTGAATGCGCTCTCCACCACGGAGAAACTTGTGTGATGGTGACCGCCTCTGTGATCCATCGAGGTGTACTGGGTATTGTCTACGTGATACTCGTAAGGTCGTTCATTGGATGATCAGATAAGCATAGTGTAGATTCGAATATGTGTGGTGACTGGTTCCCTAAAATTTGAATTACTCTGGTAACTAACTTCCACGTCCTTGCAGTTGAGCTTTGATTGAGGTTGATTCTCCTGTCTGGACGCTGTGACAGTATCTCAGACCACATACAACCGTGCGGTACACAAATAAAAATGCCACCCTACCTTCTTGTGATGCCCTACTTGTTTCGTGCAGCAGGGCTGATGAGCGAAAACAGCACACTGTTGACGCGTCATTCCGTATCAAAACCCCAACTCCAAAATCTCCAAACCTGAGCTATAAGTATTTCGATCCTGCGCCCGAATGACTGGATAATAGCGTACTGTCGCTCACCTGTGTCGCTTCGCGTCCGCTTCTTTGAAGCAAGTCAGCTATCAAGTAGCTTTAACGTGCGCTTTTGCCACTGTGTTCTGGAACTCCAACGCTAGATCCAAGTTCGGTAGTCGAGTTTGCGACACCTTCGTTATTTAGAAGCCACCGCCTGAGAAATCCGGATGATCGGTATAGCTCCCTGTTCCTGGGTTAGGGCCTCATTACAGGCTTGTACTTTATGCCCATGAACCAACTGACTTTAATTCTCATTCGGGGAATTCTGTTTTGTCCAGCTATTAAATATTGTCCTACCCAGCACCGGGAGTTCAAATGTACTCATAGTTACCCGTGGTCTTGGTGCACAGGTAAGGCGTCTCCACTCGTCAGAAACCCGACTTGATGACCCATTCAATTTGAAATCGGTTTAATGGCGATAGTTTTTTACGCCGCTTTATACTAATCATTTGTCTCAGACGCAGTCACCATTGCTTCACCACTTGGTATGCTCCTACTGATAAGCACTCATGGTGCCGGTTTGAGCATATGACTATTAGGTGGTGGTAGCGAGGCATCAGTCTCTACGGTCCACTCACGTCAATTCAGACCATGCTATTGCCTGGTCTGCTTTTCGATAAGTTTCCCATGGAAACCTGGGAAACAGAATTCTGGTTAAACTGTCAAAAAATTCTCTGGCCCGCAAGTTAGACAAACTTATGATAGTAGCCCTTGTGGTGCCTCAAAAGTTTTATCCTCAGGAGACATCAGCCGCAAATGGGACTAGGTAAGCAACGCCATTCGTGCAGCTGGAATATTGACGTGTGGTCAAGCAAACATTGGATATCAGGCTGCTCGTTTTCTACCCTTCGTGAGAGACTGTGAAATCCTTCGGATATCCTGAGCAGCAGTTGACTGGCTCTCTCCATACATATATTTTCCACTCGACCTGCCAAAATTTAAGCCATGTAGTGCTGTGCACTCACCCAGCGATATTCAGAGGCGGTTGTGAATGTTTGTGTTTTACCTCGAGCAGGTTGTTTAAGCTAATTTGGGCAAGAGAATTCGTCCGATAAGACTGGACTTATCGACCAGTCGGTCATTCATAAAGGATATCAGAGGCAACTGCTGCAACCAGAACAGCGTGAGCTTTGCCCGGTTTGTACCGCGACTTCGTCGATACTCGGGCATCTGAGCTCCTCATGTCAGACGCAGATTTGAGAGCACCGGACTGAATTCGATTATTTACAGGATCTATTGACCACATCTTCACATTGCGTCAATTGCTTATGCATCGTCATGCAAAACCACCGACAAACACCGTCGGTTTTTCTTGACTTTAAAGAATCTTTTATCTGCATGCTTTTTTACGTTTCCTTGACCAACTGCGAAGTTTCAAAACATTCTTTGTGCCCCTTATTTACCCATCTTGTTTCGGTTCATAGTGAGATATCTACAGGTTTCCTCACGACCAGTGGAGTTCGCCATAATGCTTCTCTCTCTCCATTTTCGTTCACCCTGAGAAATTAGTTGATCTGGACTATGCAAACATTGTTTTATCGCCTAGCGATCTTGCTTCCCGTCGTTTAAGTGCGAAACCTTCCTTCAGGAAATTCGACCTCCAAAACACATTTTATGCATCAGAATGAGGAGTTCGGGTTTTGGATAGGCTTACGTACCGTGTTAGTTACATAGACTACAGTGTACTGTGACGGATGACGTCACTGTACGAACCACTAGGGCAATTTTCGTTAACTACTTTCATCTGCGGTGTCAAACGAATATCGCCTTAGGTGGCTACAAAACCAGACTTTGTTGCCGTGAAAATTAGACTCTTCGATCTGAAGACCTCTAGCATCTTCAAATATTTGATTCCATAGCAGCAAAGGTCTAGGTAGAGTCCGATTCGTTTTAGCATCGAATAAACTTTGTAACCATTATGTGATTAGAACACCAGAGGACCACCGTTTACAAAAGGAGAGCATGTTTTCCACTCCAAACTCTTGCGGGAAAAAGGTTTCGCCGAAGACAGGCCTTCACGTAGCATCGCGAAATGCAATCAACTGCCGTCAACTTGAGCCCTGTACAGTCTTTGTGCCTTTCTTGATAGGGTTCACGTGATTAGCCCTGCGCGAGGTAGGAGACCCTGTGGGCGCTGCACGTGACTGGTCCCAATGGTGGGCTTTTCCGTCCTAGTTAGCCTACCTTGCTAATGCTGGTTCGTTGTTTTTTCCTGGCCTCTGTTCTCAAGGTATAGTGGATCAACCCGCTTATGGCGCGCTTTTCCATTATGCTCAAACGTCTTCATTTGGTTGAACTTGAAAGGTATAAGCACTTTTTGTCGGCGATTTTTCCCAATGTTTTTTTAGCTACTCCCTATCCCTCTTTCATCCTGTCGAGACCTTTCTTCTTAGCAGCTGAGAGGCGGTTTTTACAGTTGGTCTATTGCTGACTGGGCGGTCTCACCCTGTCGAATTAATCCCCCGTCAGCTGTTGATAAGTCGTAGCTTCAAGTGAGGTAATCCCTATCAAATTCCGCACGTGATACTTGGCGTGCCGCCTTCTGTGACTTTTTTTATTTTACGAGTGTTTTGCTCGCCCTAATTGATAGCCACCTCATTATTTTCGATCCTCAGGATAAAGTCGATTCGACACGGATCCGTGAAATGGAAGAACTGGAGAAACACCGTGCCGAGGGTACAAAGGTGCTCCAACACTATCAAGAGTCTCAACTTCGTGATGTGAAAAAGCAGCAGCAGAAGGAGAGGGAAGATTTGAAAAATAGAATTCAGTCGCGCAAGGATTCCCTAGAGGCTGCTGTGAGTTGTTTCAATTGGAAATTTATGCATTGTTGTTTGATAGTTTTTTTGTTTCACCGCCCTGGCTCCGATGTACTTTCATACTTCATTCGAGCTTGAATGGCTCAATTGTCAAGACTTGGAACGACTGACCGCGGTTCGCTTCCAGCCGTGGCCTGTCAATTGCTCTCCGATGTTCGTGCTCCTTTCAGGTTGAATAGAACCTGTGCACGGTACTTGTGCCATAAGACCATCAAGATCAGACAAAATCGTCCGTTTTTTTCGGAATGGAAGCATAACTCCATCAGTGAACATAGTGATCAGGGTATCCCGTTCGATTGTTGGAGGTACCTTCTTTCATTATGGATTAATTCATCGAGAGCTTCGAACTGCTATAGGATCTATCATACGTTACGTGACATTTTGACGATCAACACGTCTTGGTCACGTAATGCACCGTTTCTTTAACCATATAGTAGCTGGCCTGTTGGAAATGATTTATCCCAACTAACGCAACCATTCTTCAGAGGCATTCCCTACTACTCTTTCAGGTAAAGAAAAACACTGATTCACTCAAAGAGGAAGCTGCTAGGAAAACGAGGCGCTTGATGGAACAACACGCTCAGAACCTCCGAGCTTTCGATGCCCAAACAGCTAGTCTCGGAATCGATAATGCCGCGGTTGTTGGTATTTCAGCCCGAATGTTTGGTGGGGGTGGTCCACCTGGTTCCGGTAGTGGGTCATCGTTCGGTGCAGGTCAGAGGCCTGCTGACTGGCGCCACAGCCGGATGGAATTCTTGCCATCATAAATGCTGAGAGTTCCGTCATGTTTCAGTATGTGAGTGCATTGTCGGTTTCCTTTGTCCTCCCTTCTACCTGCTCATATTACCCCCATGTCTTTTCTTTGTCTTTGTTTTATGTTCTTGTCAATTAGTGCCACGTAGTGCCAACTTCTCGGGGTTTGAAAGGATCACATAGTCCTTTAAACCTCGTTTATAGTAGAAACACAACATTTCGCACTAGGTCCGTTTCTTTAGACGGTTAACCTCCATTTGAGCGAAAGCCATGGGTATCAAGTCATGAGTCTTCATCCGATTGGATTGAAAGCTGTTGCTTATGTTCCGTATTAATTATTGCGACAATTCTTGATACGGCCTCGCAACCTAGTTAGCATAGTCACAGAGCTTAGTGTTCTCAGATGTCGTTGCTATCCTACGTGGATGTAGAGCCAAAGAGTACTTCCAGGTTACGGGATGCCCGCTATGGGGTTGAGCTGCGTTGATTAGAACAGCTCACTTTCCGTTCGTATCTGGTACCCACCGTTGAAGTGCGGCTCTCAGTAACTGAATAGGATAGGGGCCCTTGCGGGCATTTGTATGGGATACAGCACTGCTCGTCTTCGACAGCTGTTATTGATGTCATGTAACTATCCTCACTGATGACGGTTCCTCAAACCGAGCCCCTTCAGCGTATATCTCATAGTTAGTGGGTAGTGAAAGGCTTTTGAGAATTTTGTCGTGAACCTAAGTGTGTAGTTGGTGGTGAATCTCAGGTATGACTTGGTGGCATATTCACTAGGCGCAAGGCGTTATGATGATGTCGAACATCTTATACAGCATCGTGCTAACTATTGATTGTTTCTCAACACTACTGGTTTTAGGTGCAATATACGCCATTGGCTACAGATAGCCGAGCTCAGTAACGACTACCGGTTATTCTGGTACACATTTCGGTAAACAGTTCTGCGTTTAGTTTTCGGAATGCTTTCTGCTCCACAAGTTAAGCAGAAGTACCAATACCCAATATTTAGTGCTCAAAAAGCGATCCTCGCAGAAGTCATCATTCTTGGTGCCCCGAAGGCATTTTGCTTGATCACGTTTCCTCACTAAGTCAAACGCTCAGATAGCATCACAGATACCGCCGACTTCAAAGCAGCCTTTCGCTCCGTAGATGAATAGGTTTCACATATACTTGACGACATGGGAACGAGCCCAAAGTTTACAAATTCACTGCGTACTCTCTTCACCTTTCTGGTGTTGTTAAAGCTGACAACTGACGATCCAATAGTGTTTCGTCCAAGTAGCGGGTTCGTCCACCATCTCTCTGTTTATTTTTTGCGTTCATATAATCTTGGAATGTGCACTGCAAGCTTGGCTTTGAATTCATGTCTAGATAACAACTAGTAAAATTGATCAGACACGACATTTTTATTCGATTCCCGTGAGCCCGTACAGTTCACCTTAGAGAGAGTTGTAGTGTGTTTTGAACTTAGGACTTCGGGTCCGCCCGTGTACCTGCGAAACTTCAAAAAATGAAGCATAAGCTTGTTGAACGTTTTGGTTACATGGTTACTTTATGGTAACTTTCTCCTGTAGAATGATGAGTCGACCCACAAATTATTCCGAATCACTGCTGCCCATGGAGCATGATCGCAACAATGTTCGAGCACAACGTTATCCAGTTTCTCTACCACTCTTGACCCTGTAGACCACCAACAGACCAAGTATTTCAACGACAAAGCCGTAGACGGTCAGGTTTTCAACTATCCGCGTTAAGATAGCGCCATTCTGAACAGGACGGGGGCTACAAGGAGACCGGAAAGTTCTGAGTCTGGTTTGTGGAGGACGTGTCCCAACGACTCTAGTCTGCATTTCTGTATCAAGTTGGAGACGGAAAGAATATAACAGCGGCTTGTGACACCATCATTGGATGATCCATCTTTCCACCGTACTCTTATTATTTTCTTTTAGCACTTTAGTGGACAAAAACTCCGAGTCCGGAGAGGCCACTTTTCACGGGTGTATGTTTGTGCGGATCGAACAACTGCCGTATACACATGGTGCATCGTTCAAAGGCCGAGTTCCAAGTGTTTCTATGGGGTGGTGTAAAGGTACACGAACGTCTTCCTAGCCTTGTCGAACATTTGTCGTTGAAGCCAAAATACCTGAAGGAATCTATTTAGTCTTTGGGCGGCTGATGGACTGAGATTCGTGCTTTTATTTAAGAATTTCGTCCTCCGAAGATTTCAGGTGCAACTAGCGGAGTGTACTGGCTGATACTATCAAGAATAGACTGTATTTCTGCCGGTTCTCCACTCAGAATCAATGTCTTTGTTCCACTTTATGGAGCTTGTTTGCACTCCATTGAAGCTGAGCGTGTATAAATTTGTCTAATCAATGACGACACTGAAGAACATCAGCGAAAGTGGGCAGCCTTGTCGGACACCGAAGTTTAAAGCAAACACCGTGGTCTCTTCCCCACATACTTCGTATCTGGCTTTTGTATATCGCACACCATCGACTTTCGAGAGTCCCTACTGGCTGATCCGGGCACTCGACAGAGCTCAATGAAACAAGCGGTAGTTGGTTAGTAGGATGTATAGCGGCGTTCTAAAACATGGCTTGGCGTGAATGTTTGGACGGATGCTTCCCTGATTTGACTTGATGTGAGACTGTTGCTTCTTTGAAGTGGCACAGTGGTAGTGGCAAAGGTTTTGGCTGCGATATCTATCAGGCTGATACCGTGGTAGTTTGCACAAACCGTTCTGTCGCCTTTTTTGTGTCCGTAGAGGTGTTCCAAAATAGCGAGGACACTTCGGATTCCCCCACTGAGCAGACCAAACATGTGAAGAGATTCGAGGACTGCCGGGATACTATCATCGCTTTTAAACCTTTTGTTCATCGATGGTTTGATTATAACGGCTAATTTGCTCCCTAATGTTCAAACACCTTGGTAACGCGGTCAAATTAGCTTGAAGATTCGTAGTCTCTACGGGCGATGCGATATATATTTCCAGTGGTACCACCCCCCTCCGACTTAAGCGCTTCTGTTGCTGAAATTTCTTGCTCTTCTTCCGTCGATGGTGCTTCGACTTTACTCTTCAGTATCGTCGATGCATGGGCTATCCTAATCGGAACAGTGGCAGGTGAATAGACATTCTGACTTTCCAAGTCCTGTATCCTCCGAAAGCGTACGCTTAGTTTTCAGTAACTTGGATAATTCGACACAGTCTCGTTCTTCCACACCATCGTCGGCTGTGATAACCGCGTACTTGTCGTGCAGTGGCTTTAGCTGCCGCATTTTCGTTCACCGATGATTTAGGGAAGGTAGGTAGCTGCGCATTGAAGGAGTGAGCTGATAATGTGTACATAAAATATAGGACTGTTAATTTTGGGGGGATTGGGGAGGGAGCTATGCATTGAAGGCAATAGCTTGGATGCACAAGTGCCATTGAGGGCGCGACTGGGCCATATCTAACAGTGTCTCTAACCATTGATGTGGTCCGTCTCGGTGTCCCCATCCAGGGAGATGGCAGTGACCAACGCAGCTGAGTTTTCTGGTAATGGCTTTTATAATTTACGTGGTTGTGCGAAAGGAACCCTACTAGGAATTCGGTCGAATGACATACGGAGCACGTGGCCAAACCAGCGCAACCTATGGAGAGTCGTTATTTCTTCCGTACCAGAGGAATTGTCGTGATTGGCCATCGAGGAAAAGCGAAGACCTACACTTTTTTCATTGCAACATGATGATCAAAATATGCGCTATGCCCCACAACATATAACCATCCAGTTTAATATCCCAAAGGGTACAGTTTACCGTAACTAAGGGTACTTCACCGTAGTTCTTGGAAACCTAGCGCAAGAGTAAATATCCGCACACCGTTTTCACTGTCAGAATTATTTCCGCATCCGGTAGTTGTATTCGGCAGTATGAAGGCTGAACGGAGCGGTGGATTTCGTCGTGCAGCTGTGCATTAGAAAGAAAAACCTTCCGATAAAACTTGATAATCGAGATGTTTCAACCAACCGGATCCATGTACATAATGCCTTGAAGAGCAACTACAACCGACAGTTCAACCATTCCGCCTAAACATCCACTCTACTTCTTTGAGTACACAGGTGACAGTGAGTGTGCGTTTTTGCGATATTATCTGTGGTTTGTGCGCTAAAGTATCGAAAGACAAGGGAACTAATACGTGGGGATAATTACGTAATTGCGACTGCGACCGAACTACAGTACAGTCTACGTCCTAGTGGATTTATTTTGTGTAATAGTTCTTTCAGTCTTACCTGATTAACTTGGAGTATGCTTTAAATATTTATCCTCAGTGGCATTTTCCAGCTTTCATCTGGCCCTTGAAAATGAGGCCATTTCGTGAACACGTAACAAACGAACTGAAGTGCTTCCACAAATGCTTCTTTCGGTGTCTTCAGACCTTCCAGTAGTTCAGAGTTTTTCCTTCCTAATAATTAACGCTCGTTTATCTACTGTGCACGTTGTTATGAGACTCACGTGTGGTGCACGCAGGGATTATTCACCGCGCACAATCCGCCTGTCCCGTGCGAAATCATGAACTATACTTCGCTGCGGGTCAGCTGTGTATTGCTCCCTCAGTCAATTTTAGGCGCCTTTTAACTTTGCTTCAAAGGCGCAAGCACATCAAATCAATGTGATATGTGTATCACCTGGATGAAACATACGAATATGACTTTGCGGAAATTATTTTTCACCATCTTTTTTACGTGTCTCCTATCGCCAATTTGTACATGTTATGTGTGGGATGGCATGTTTCGGAGTTGTTAGCAGTGTTTTACTCAGTTGTGGAATAAGTTGTGCCTATTGTGAAATACTCCAGACAACCACAATACGTGTTCGCCATGTGTTCAGCGACTTGTTTGTACATTTTTACATATCTGCAGCGTTAATTTATGCCACATTAATGGTCTAAGCTCAAGTTTAGTGCACATTCAATGCGTCTTTCGATAAGTGTCTTGCAAGTGCTGAGCCTGTGGCGCTTTTCTAGTGACCCTTGTGGATCCAAAAATATAGGATAGCCAGACGGTCGAGTAAAACGACCCTGCCTCTAATACCGTGTGCATCGGTCGCATAAGATGGTTTTTCCTCCGGAATATGCCTAATTCTAATTCGGTATAATTTGCTTGGGATTTTCGTAATTATATAGAGAAGGTAATACTCTATTAGCTGCTGGTGCATGCAACTTGACTTGAATGAATAATCACAGTATTATGTGTCTTGAACGATTCACAGTACTTATCTGTTGTATTCCTTCATTCTTCCTCAGTCCGTTGTTTCGGCCTGTGGCGGCTTGCAATAGAATATCGGCTAGCAGTTTCGTACGTGATCAGCAACTGTCTCCTCATGTGCATACAATGACGTCCTAGCAGTGGTACCCCATATCTTCCTCATCCGAACATACACCCTTCATTGAACTTGTGTGTATTCTGGCCCAGTCGCGCACACTTCCTAGTACTCAGGCTACTACGGTTGTCGATTGTCGCTGTCCACATGGACTATTTTTCTACTTCGACCAGCTCTACCCCGCTATCGAGGTGCTGAATTCAAACGTATGGGACTTTTTCGTCCTACCGCAGACGACCTTGTTCATCTATTTATGTACACATCAACACCGGTTAAGCAATCTGTGTGTACGTTCCTTGCTCTTGGCATTACAACTACAGCCAGTGTTTTCTACACGATCATCGTATCCCACCTCACCTTACCTGTTGCCGGCGCCCATCATGTCCCTCCCAGCGTGTACAGATCATGGTATCCATCCACTTACCCGGACCACCATTGTTTCAAATGCGCTTTCCACGGACCCTGCCCCGTCTAACCAGTTGGATTCAGTTTATTGCTTTGTCCCTTCGTTTTTTTCGGTAACTTTTTTTTACAACTGCCGCCGTCCGTGCACAATGGCTGTCTTGTGAATATGGGCATTGTCATTGTCCTCTCAAGCTAGTTTCCGCCCGTCACCGGACTAATCCCCCGTTCATGTGTGTATCTTTTGAGAGCTGAGGTGAAATTTCTTATCTTGGACAGTTCTGACCTAATGCTTTCTCACTCGCTTTTCTGCCCAGCCAGCCAACTACCGTGGATAGGGTTCATTGCCCTGAGAACTGTGTAAATTGTTTCCACGTAACCTGCTACGCGGTCAGATGCGAGGTTAGCAATTACAAATATTTTACAATTTCATATTATTCAGTTTTCAACGAGAAATCTTTTAGGTCTTTCATATGTGCGGACACTAATAAGTTGCGGATAGCTTCAGTTCCCCGTTTCACACAAAAAATCCCTTCAAGTGATTTAATTTAAAGTGTTGTGACCGAGGCGCCCAGGTGGATCCTACACTCTGCGTATTTTTTGTACGCATTTTTATTCAGGCCTGGGTTGGAGGTTATCGAAGCTTCCATATTTTCAAGAGAATAAAGGTTTTATATTAACTGAAAGTCACTTCTGGGATAATGAGTCCTAGGTTCATGCTCTGAAATCGACTCCAGCTGTGCATAAGGGACATAAGGAATGTTTGTCCCGGTTGTTGAATACGGGCGAAATGACAAAGTAATCAATCGATTCTTCACCGCATCTGGACACAAGTTTTATAGACCACAAACTTATGCAGCAGAGACTTTGAATCTTCCGTTAAAGTTACTATCTGATTAAGCTTAGAGGCTGAATCTGCGAGAGTAAGTTTTGAAGGCTAATGATGCCAAGTTGCAGAATATTGGTGGTCTGGGTGAATTATCTGGTTGTTGGCTTACTCGGATTGCATATAATCTCTTCTGAAACGGTTGCATGTAGCTCCACCTTTGGTCCAATTGGCTAAACCAAGAAACGTCTTACACAGTGAGGTACGTACAGTGTAAACCAAACGTGGCTCACCAGGACACTCCAATTATTCAGCAAGTGCTTTGGTGATGTCGATTTTAACCTGTGGGAACAAACCTACGCTGTTGCTAGTCGATTATTGAGTGAAAGTTGCGTTTGGCCCTTGCCTAACTGATCACGCTCTGGTTAAGTTAATGTACTTGATGGAGACTAGCGTCAAGAAATGAATTCGCAATTTGACGCAATTTAGTTTTGCTTCGTTCGTCGTTTGACATTCTTGTTTGTCGACACCGTTGGACGCTGTATTGGGCGTTTTGGATGTTTCTGTAGTGAAACAGAATGACAAAAACCGTCAGCCTCTGATGCGGAAGCGATGTAGTCTATGGGTGAGCTATATGATTCATTTTCTTCAATGATTGATGCAAATTTGAATCCGATTCTGAGGTAAGGTTGGACACGGAAATTCGTAGAGTACGATTCCGAACTTAACGTTGCACTTAAGTAAACTGAGGTAAGTTTATCGTGTTATCACTCTGCACTGCGAATAATGAAACATCATCAGAGGCAGCAACATCACTGTTGACACTGATGCTTCACTACCGTACCATTAAGTTTATCTTATTGTATTTAAGGCGTCGGACTGAAAAGGAGAGAAGAGTGGGTAATGGAAGGGAGCTTGCGCTGGCCATTGTCAAGCATTCTAAGGTGCCTATACAACCAAGCGCTCAATTAGACCATCTGGGAAGAAACTGACATCACAAACACTGGCATTGATCAGCCTCCATTTCTCGCAATGTTTCTAGCCAAACAGGCGGGGTCACGGGGACCCCATCCTGGAAGTCGTAAAACACCAACTTGCGTGGCACATGACCGAGCGGCCCCAGTTGGTGATGCTGTATGTTTCCCGCGGTTGAATTACGTGCCGCACAACCATATAGCCCTTTTCCAATCACCTCAGTAATCCACTGACGCCATCCAAAGCCAGCAACGCTTGTTAGGCATTGATGGTCAACAACCTAAAGGTGCCTCATATCATACATCCGCAGAGGTCACGTCTTGCACCCATAGAACGAAACTGCCCTTACCGTAGCCTGGTGCACGTGACCCTTAAGATCCTTTTGATGCAACTTACCAAGCCTGAATTAGCCTTTGAGATCCTTGCACTGACTTCATCAGACACATTTCCGCCAAGACTAATACAACTACCGAGGTATCTACAATTTTCCACAGCCTCCAGTGATTCTCCTTGAGTTGTAGCTAACGGCACTGACCGATTGACAGAATCGGACGCACAGTTGGTGTCGAGGAAAACCAAGATTGTCGGTCATCTGTGGCGTTGCTCTAAGGCCTGACGGA